AAGCCTAAATTCAAAAAAACCCCGATCATGTTATTGATCAATTCCGAAAAAAAATCATGAGATGAAACCAACCTTGGCACCACCTTCCAGCAAGTCTTCGTCACACAGCTGCCACTCACTCCATGGCATTTACACTCTTTTCCCATTCGGCTGGCGAGAAGGCGACGTCCTACTCGATTGTTGTGCAGATTCATCAAGGCCCTATAACCAATAATGGAACAAATCAAAAAAAATTGTAGAAAAAGTAACAATCCAGATGTTTTCGCCACAGTGTAGCCCAAATTAATAAAAAGTTTTTTCTAACCTGGCATCACTATGAACTTTATCAGTGACGTCTATGAACTTTCTTCCAAAAGAGTTTCCATATCGTACATTATCAGAACATCCTGCCCAGACGAATTTATTCGACAACGACGACGGTGTTGGTCCACATCCGCAATCCTCAATCAAACCCTAAAAATAATTATGCTATATAATAAGATCACCACCTCTACCAGCATGTAAATTTATGTTACCACTCCACTATACCCAAAGCCAGGTTATGCTAGGGTGAGGCCCAAGAATGAACCTTACAACTTCATCTGGCCAAGAAACAATTTGCAAACATTTAAGAACAGATTTTGAAATTCACTGTAAGCATGGGGAAATTGGGATTCCGCAACCTAGGTATAGTAGTGACAGACGCGGATACTCACCACTATACTACCGAGGTATAGTAGTAGGGTTATTATTCTAGACCATGCCCGCTCATTTAGAGAAATAGGGGTCTATTCCAGTCAGGGGGCATATCGGCTGTCTTTTTGGTGACCGTCGAAGATCTCCAGCTTTTCACGCATGTCAAAATGACTGCCCCTAGATTGGCTACACTCCCCCTAGCTCGGAGTTATCCTGGCTTTCCGAAAACTGCATCGTTATGCCCCCTAACTGAAAAAGACGCAAAAATACATCCCTCCATGAAAAAAACATGTGTCAGTTCCAATTTAGAAACTACTCACCTTCGCGCACGCTTTTGCCAGCGAATGACTCACACCAGCCGATGCTATCGCATACACGAACGCCGATTCCTTTGATGCTACTAAAAATAAAAAACAATCTGAAACTCTAGACAAGTAAATTCTATGAATAATTTCAGTAAACGAAAATACTAAAAAAATTAGAAAACCACCAGCAAAATTGAGCTCACTTTTCAATGGCGTTGTTCCCACACCAGGTGTTGTTAGTGTACAGTTCCATACTTGATTACTAAACGCTTGCTTGACATTCAGAGATCGCCATCCTCAAGCCATCTATCTGAAATTTCTCTGCATACTAACGAAAATATTCTTTCGGATACCATTCTAGCAATTATGTACACTTACCAAGAATTTCATCGAATCCGGATGTCGTATGCACATTTCTCGCTGCTTGTTGCTGAGCCCCGGAACCACAGAACATGCTGACGGATATGAAGTAATGCGAGATGGATCGGTTTCGGACAGTAACCTAAAAACTTTATACTGTAAAATAAACAAGTATTAACTAAAAAATGAAAAGAAATAAGTAAAGGAAGATTCATTCAGCAGTGACCGGATCCTTTTCGAGATGCGCAAGCATCCTGTGCACATCCATTAGTGTGGGCCAACTGAAGTACGTCCCGGCTCTACAGGCAACTGTGAGACCAGCCGACGCACCTATGCATGTTTCGTCTTCCCAGACAAATGCAGGCCTGGAACCAATTCATCGACTCAGGTGGAAGGAAGGCTTGGTTGGCTTGAACAATTAGCCAGATTTGATCCGGGATTTGATCCTAGGACCTCTTGCGTGATCAACGGTGCCACTTCTCACTATGTAACTTCCGCTTATAGAGAAAGTAAGGGTAGTAGAGCTTATTCAGGACAACCACCACTAAACATTTTTCCGAGTCCCTATTCCATTTTAGAGCATCAAATGTGCTTTTTCCAGACTGTACCCCATTGACTGCCACTGGCGCCACAACAATGAACTATATGTGTACCACTGGCAGTCAAGGGTTAAGCCATGCTTCTTTCAACCCCACCCTTTCTTCTCATCGCTGTCTCTCATGGTAATTCTCCCAAGAAATCTCGACAACTAACGCAACGGTAAATGTTGCTCAACAGTCACGTAGCCATGATCACTACTACTTAAAATTAATAAAAAAAGCTATTATAAACAAAATATTTAACACGGTTTGTTTCGCTCCTTCCTCAGACTTAAAACTAAACTAAAATTTATAAAACAGTTTAGTAAACCGTTATAAAACTTAAAAGCCCCAATTCCATCAATTCCTGCGCTGTGGCGAGTGTGGTCATCAACATGGCCCGAAAAAAAGATTTTGTAAACAGGCCTCCCTTTTTCTCCAATTGTTAATGCCCCATATCCCAGAAAAGCTTTTTACGAATAGTATGTGCCCTACATACCATCCCTTGATTTGCGAGGCATCCATTTACGATCAGCACGATCCATATAACGACTATAAGAACTATCCCCATTTTTGCCCAGCCAAGACGCTCGCTAATCAGCTATTTTACCATCAGCAAGCTATAAACGGATATGCATATGAATCAAGCACACAGCTAGCCAACAACGCAACAATCCGTTCGCATCCGATTGGTGTACGTCGTAAATCGGTCATAAAGTGCGCACGAGGTCATGCCGCTGAGTCTTTGCCAAAAATGCCGCTCACACGGACAGCTTGCGCAGCACCACATAAAACGACAGCACAGCACGCGCCATCCTCGTCTCAAAACACCTTTCTCTTCGTCCCGTGATGCCGCCTTGGAAGAAGAAAGCTGGCCAAGTGGACAAATCGGCCGACAGGCGCCACGCTCAAACTACCTCGTGCCGGAATGAAACGACATCGTAAACCGGCCGGTGAAGAAGCATCTGACGGCCAGCCACAGTAGACAAATCTCGCGGCTGGCGCCTTATGCAACATCTGTCGGGAGAAGTCTTGCCGGAAATAAGTCGTGGGAAAAAACCTTTGATATCCGGGTATCTTATAGTGACACCATTTCGTTACTGACGACTTCAGCGATGCCGTTTGGAAGTCGCCTAGTCGTCGCTTCACCCCTATCGAATCGATTTCCAAGTTCGGTAAGCTTGCTAGCAGCAAAATCCAGATGAGCAGAGCCAATTGTACTCTGATTACGGACGGTAAAATCAGTTCTGTACCCCGAATCAAGGAAAAGGCCGGTGCGGGAAAACAAAGAATGCAATGGTTCACTGCCGAAATGGCCATAAAGGCGGCATGCTCCCAAAGACCAATACCCGTCACCGAATATGGTTCTCTTTTTCTGCCTTCAGCAAACAAAACCACCCATAAAAATGAAAGAGCAGCGACAATATTCATGAGAATTCAATGGTACAAGTTCAGAAGAACAAGGAAATACACAGATCTGTCGCGGCTGAATCACGGAAGGCCCTGTTCTTTCTTCACCGGACAACTGACTGCTAATGCAACGCTTATCAAAAGAAAGGCATCTCAGAACGTAATTTAACTCTTACAGTACCCCTACCATAGAATGACTCTGAGCATGTCTGGAACTGAACTGTGGTGAAAATTCACTCTCACAGAGTGACAAGAAGCAAGCTTAGGAGACGGACGTATGCAAATAACGATGTACAACTACAACAAATCCACTCAGGTAGATTCACTCAGCCTCCGCGACTGAACATCGAAACGACGTGGTAACTACAAAAGTGCAATAACGAGCTTTGACCGAACTTCTGCTGAATTCAGCCCCTACTCCAAATCTCTTTAGGTCGCTCCAGACTCGCATAATAATAGCTGTTCAGAAAGAGACTACGTCATGGTGATTGTTATCCGCCTCATCTGCGCTCCTTCAGCAAGCAAAAAAAAATCCAAGCCTTTTTCTACCCATAGTTTGGTTAGATGTGTATCTGCTTGAACGAAACGCAGCAGCTACAGTAAGACATCTGCAGAGAGGGACTTTTCGCTCCCACTTCATAGTTTCAACCACCCATATATACCATAGAGTCTTCTCGTCTTCAAAATTCGACGCTTTTCAGAAAAGTATTGACGGTTATGTCACCTTTACATAGAACTTATATTCAAACAGTGGGGCTCGAACTCTCAATAACTGTAAGGATACTGGGAAAAAGTTTGCACTTTACTGCGAGATTCCCATAAAGTAATTAATTAGGAACAGCCAGAGAGATAAGAATAACGGCAGCTATCCTTCCCGAAGAACAACAGCAGCTAATCCTTTCCGTATCTGTATGTTATGCCATGATCTAACCAAATTACTAGAAAACCATGAAACAAAACCAAAACTATTTGAAAAGCGTGTTAGAGTAGTAACACTTTCATAGGGTGTCACAGTATTATAGGAAGTGTGGGAGACGTCCTTCAACAGCGTAACACCTTCACACCAGGACCCATAAGCGATCAGCATTACGTCATTATATGACGCGCATGGCCCAGTAGGGTGCCCCATATAAAACAGAATGCGTATAAAACAAAAATCTCAAGGCAGTTCTATGTGACTGGATCACATTCCTCCATTTCATATGGATCATTAAGCTGTAATGGTAACAAGAAAGAAGAACAGCACCCGGGTTCTTTCACACCGCCGTCAACGCATGAGTGGACCTAACAGTAAGCTTTGGAACTGGTGCTAGCCCTTCTTTGTGAAAGAGAAAAAACTCTCGCAATTCAAGAAAGCACACTTAGAAGCCCATAGGTCTCAGCTCCATCAAACATTACCTCAAAAATTCGTAACGAACGCAACGAAGAAGCTCATAGTCTCAAAGAGACTTCACTGAAACGTGGTTCAAAAATTGGTATTTTTTTCACGCTAAACTCTCGCTATCTGGTGCCCTTCTCAACCAGCCCAAAATAATAGGATGACAGAAATGCCCAAGTTTTTTCCAGGAACGGAAACAATGCATGTGAAATACGCAGCTGGTACCAGTCGTGAATTGAACAATAAAGACAAGGGTTCGCATGAAATGGAAACCGAACTTGGCACCTCAGCAAGAATAAAGAGGAAACATTTGTAAAAGTAAAACCTCTAACGTAAATTGAACAACTTAGCTCACTGAAAAAAACGCTAGTCAATGCGAGTATTTCTAAAACTGTAACATGACCGAAAAAGCTTACCACCATGAGTTCGCGTTGCTGACGATAAAAGCCAATAGTATCAACAGTGATCGTAACATAACAGATCGAAGGTGAGCAGAAGGACAGTACCCCATGATGGTTAGGCTCATACGAAAGGGGCGTGGCAATTTGGGCGGGGCGATATCGTAGCTGTCGGGAGGTTTGCCGAGGTTTCCATGAATGAGGAGAGGAGGCTATAGTGACTAGAACCGAGGAAAATGTCATGAAACACCAAGCCTAGCAAACTAAGCTTCACCTTAGCTTCACTGATAACATACAATGGAATGAAGCCGCGACGTGAACAAAAAGATAATACATATCTGTCCGCTACTGGGAGACCTCCCAAAGGAAAACTGGATGGTCAAATCCTGGACCCAAATCGTTCGATAAAACTTCTCACATACAGACAGAGAGATCAAACTTGAAACAGTGTTTTGAAGCAATATGATGGAGCATTAGGGTGGACCTACCTGCTTCACGAATCATGCACCAAGAAGTCCGCTCAATAGAAAATCCAGGACATCGCATACTAACAGCTGTCCAGAAGTTTTAGCGGTGAAACCCACTGTGACCTATAATATAAAAGGCTGGTCATGACCGACTCAAAACGCAGCCTTAGCAACAAAAAGCGTTTACAGCTCCCGTTTCGAGAGATTAAGCGATTCCGCGGAAAGACGTGTATACGTGTACCGTGACATTTGGCAATTGGAAAACCAGCGATTCTTCTGATCGATACTCTTCAAACTTCGAGCTAGTAAAGAACGATACTTCAAAAACGAGCTTATTTGCCTGAAACGTCGCCCCGGAGATGACCACAGATTCGCCACTGCTAAGATCAAGCGCCGCTCTAATTGTAAGAGAATTTCGGAATCAGTGCGACTCCACAGCCCCCCTCCGTAACAGTGTACCTAGTGACGTCGCTACTTAACTCTGAGTACTTCTACCTCGCTCTAACAGCTAGTAACATATGCACATTACCCTAGACTCCGCGGGTCAAGGGGGTGGTATATACAAGAGCGCAAAATACCTAAAACAGCTAAAACCTGGGGATTCCCAAAACTCCTTAGCAATTCCACCAGCTCTTCGGGAGATTCAATGCCGTCTTCGGAAGATTGAATGCCGATTTCATCCAATACATTCCCCACATCCCTTCCAGGAAATAATACGATCTCTCCACTACT